TTTGAAAAAGTGGCATTTTTGTAAAAATTTCAAAAGTGTGGTATTTTTATAAAGTGGTACTTGGAAAGTGGCATTTTTGTAATTTCTCTTTAGTTATGAGGGTTTTAGGGGTCAAGAGATTTTTTAGGGTTTAGAATTTTAAGATTTAGGCGCTAAAAAATCATAATTAGTTTGCTAATGGACATAAAAAATAGCATTTTTGCAAACGTGGACACAAAAAGTAGCATTTTTGCAAATGTCTTTTCTTCGAACAGAATTGTCGGTATTTATTTTGTTGTTGAAAAATTATCTATCTATTTTTTACAAGACCACATTGATGAATGATGTTTCGGAGTCGAGGGACTTAAGATACTAAAGACAGCAGTTTTAGATAACACCATATACTAATTAGACAAATTAAGAAACCAAATCAAATCATCTTCTTACGTTTACTGTTTTTTAAACGTTTCATTTTTTTTTTCAAATGCTACTCACTTATTTGCTTCTGGGACATTTACAAAAATGTCATTTTTTGTGTCCACATTTGCAAAAATATCATTTTTGGTGTCTATTTACAAAAATGTCATATTATGATTTTTTAGAGCCTAAATCTTAAAATTTTTAACCCTAAAAAATCTTTTGACCCCTAAAACCCTCAAAACTAAACCCTAATACAACATAGTTAACCCAAACATAAATGATATAATGAATAAATAATTTTGAAAAAGTGACATTTTGTAAATATTGTAAAAAATGACATTTTTATTGGACCGATATTGGGCTACGTTTATGGTTTATTAATTTTTATTTTCATTCATTTTATTTAATTTTTTACGTTTTTAAATCTAATTTAATTTTTATTAATTATACAAAACAATAAAAGGTCAATTAGCCAAATAGCAAAATTTTGGATTATAATTAGTGTAATAGCCATGTAATAAATATAATAAAAAAACTAACAACTAACCTAGAGAAATTTACGATTTTGTCCCTCACATGAAACCATTTATACATACATAGAACAGACTTTGCTTTATCTTTACTATACTACATAACATACAACTTAATACAAACAATTTGAAGATGTGTAT